CCCCTATCTTGTTTCTCTTTTTATTTGGGTCTCTTTCTATTCCAAATAAAATTGGAGATTGCCTTTTTCCATCTCTTTTAAAAATAAATTAGTGTTTGTATTGGGATTGCATTGAACATGTAGATTGCCTTTGGTAGGATTGTTGTTTTCAGAATATTGCATCTTCCTATCCATGAACAAGGTATATTCTTCCATTTCTCCAGATCTCTTTTTGTTTCTTGTAGTTGTAGTAGTAATTTGTAATTTTCTTTGAATAAATCCTTTTCGTTTCTAGTTAGATTTACTCCCAAGTATCTAATACTGTGATTAGCTATTGTGATGGGTATTGTTTTTCTTAGCTACATTTCTGTATTCTCTTTGTTCATCTTGTATCCTGCCTCTTTACTAAATTCGTCAACTATGTCCAGTAGTTTTCTTGCTGAATCTTTAGGGTTTTCTAAGTATACTATCATATCATCAGCATATAGAAATAATTTTACCTCCTTTTTGCCAGTTTCGATACTTCTTATATCTTTCTCGTCTTATTGCAAATGATCCCGCCCTGTCTTGTGGACTTCATGGTTACCTGTGAAGTGGGCAGGGGGTTTTAAGGCCCCTTGAGCTGTCCCACTTTTCCGCCTGTGAAGATTTCTTTCTGTCCCCTCTACGCGACCTGTGAATGATCCCACATGGTCTTGTGGATGTATTGCTACTGCTAATACTTCTAATGCAATATAGAATAGGAAATGTGATAGTGGGCATACTTGCCTAGTTCCTGTTCTCAAAGGGAGTGCCTTTAATCTCTCTCCGCTGAGAACAATGTTGGCTCTTGGGTAGGTGTATATACTCTTTATTTTTTATTAATTTTCTCTTTTGGTGATGTCTTTACCTGGCTTTGGTATCAAGGATATGTTTGCTTCATAGAATGAGACTGAGAGAATTCCATCTTTTTCTGTTTTCCGAAATATTTTATGTAGAATTGGTGACATTTCTTCTCTAAATGTTTGATAAAAATCACTTATAAAACCATCTGGTCCAGGGCTTTTTTGAGCTAGAATTTGTTTTACCTTTTCAATTTTTCTTTTGTAATGGGTCTGTTCAGGTCAATTTTGTCAATTCTTGTTTATCTCCATTTGGGTCGTTTGTGGTTTTCTAAATATTTGTCCATTTCCTCTAAGTTTTCATATTCGTTTGAGTATGTTGTTGTTGTTATGTGCCGTCGAGTCGTTTGCGACTCATAGCGACCCCATGTACAAGAGCCCTAAACCGTGCTCTATCCTGTGCCAATCTCATTGCCTCTAACACACCCATCCCGAGTACCCCAGTCACTGAATCAATCCACCTCATAGAGGGTCTTCCCCTCCTGCGCTGTCCCTCTACTCTACTGAGTATAGTTTTCATAATATTCCTTTGTTAATCTTTTTATTTTAGTTGGTCCCATTATGACATTGCTCATTTCATCTCTTATTTTATTTGTGTCTTTTCCTTCTGTTCTTTTGCTAGTTTTGCTAGTGATTTGTTGATTTTATTGACTTTTTCGAAGAAACAACTCTTGCTTTTGTTGACAGTTTCAATTGTTTTTCTATTTTATATTTATTTCTGTCATAATTTTTATAACATCAGGGTTTGGTTTTGGGTTTTTTTTTTGAGGGTGTCAGTTTTTCTTGCTGTTCTTTTTCAGTTTGTTGGAGATGTTGGATTTGAGACTGGTCATTTTTGCCTGCCTTGTGATATGTTTGCTTATTGATATAAATTGACCTCTGATTACTGCTTTAGCTTTTTCCCAGAGGATTTGCTAAGTGCTGTTTTCATTGTCATTTGTTTCAAGACACTTTCTGATTTCTTCCCCCCCCCCCTTCTAGTACCCATTGATTCTGTGACTGGAGTGGTGGGAAAGAGTGTGTTTGAGATGGCTAGGTTGGCACAGGATAGAACTGCATTTAGAGCTCTTGTACATAGGGTCGCTATGTGTAGCAATCAACTCAATGGCACATAACAACAACAACAGTACCCATTCATATTCAAGCAAGGTGGTGATCTACTTCCAAATGTATGGATTGTTTTTGTTGGTTTTTTTCTCCTTTATCCTCTTGTTACTTATTTCTAATTATGTAGCATTGTGATCTGAGAAGATACTCTCTATTATTTCTGTTTTTTAATTTATTGATGCTTATCTTGTGACCTAAAATGTGATCTATTTTGAGAACATTCCATGCACATTAGAAAAGAAGGTATATTGTGCTTTTTTGGGGTGTATTCACCTATAAATATCTATGATATTGAATTGGTTTATTGTGTGGTTTAATTCTTCAGCATCTTTGTTCAGTTTCTATCTGGAAGTTCTATCTTTTCTTGAGATTGGTATATTGAAGTGTCCCAACTACATAGTAGTGTTTTCTTTTTCCTTTTTCAGTTTTTTTAATGCTTGTTTTACATATTTGCAGGTCTTTCATTTGGTGCATAGACATTTATTATTGTGTCTCCTTGTCCTATTGGCACTTTAATGACTATGTAGTGACCTTTGTCCTTTGTGATGGTTTTTTGCAGTAACATTTATTTTATCAGAAATTAATATTACTACTCCTGATTTTTCTGGTTGCTATTTGTTTGGTATATTTTTCCTCCACCCTTTTACTTTTAGTCTTTGTTTATCTTCATTTCTCATTGAACTTTTTTTAAAATCCAATTTGCTACTCTCTTTCTCTTCATTGGTGCATTTAAATCATTTACATTCAGTGTGATTACTGAGATGCAAGGTTTCATTGCTTTCATTTTGTTGAGTTGTTTTTGGCATTGTTGCTAGTTACTTTGGACCATCCTGCTTGCTGTGGACATCTCTCAGTGTTTCCTGCAATGCTGATCTTGTTTTTACAGACTCCCTTAGTTTGTGCTTTTCTGAGTAAATCTTGATCTCTCCATATTTGGTGGACCGTTGGGTAAAATATTCTTGGTTGACAGTTGTGTTCTTTGAGTATTCAATAGATGCCATTCTTCTGTTTTCTTGGCAATATGGTTACTCCAGGGAAATCAGCACATAATCTTATTTGCTCTTCTTAATAGGTTACTCTTTGTTTCTCCCTTGATGCATTCAGAATTCTCTCTTTATCTTTGGTCCTGGCAAATTTGACTATGATATGTCTTGGTGTTTTTCTTTTATGGTCTATTCTATATGGTGTTCTTTCAGCTTCTTCAATATATATTCTCTCATTCTTTCTTATGCCTGCATTGTTTTTTTCTAATAATTTCTTCCATAACTTTTTTGGTACCTTTAGTTACTTCTTCCTGTTCTGGAATTCTGATGATATGCATGTTATTTCTCTTGATGGTGTCCCACATTATTCTTAGGTTTTCTTCTTTTTCCTTCCTTTTTGATTCTGCTTTTTGTTCTAGCAGATCAATGATGACAGTTTTGTCTTCTATTCCAATGTTTCTGTGTTCTGTCTTGTCAATCCTGTTCATGTGCCCCTCCATCAATTTGACAGCATCTGAAACATTGGTGATTATATTTTGCATTGTGGTTTCTTGTTTTTCCAGAGCCTTTAATGCCTCATTGGTTTTATCTGCATTGTTTTGGACTGTTTTTTATTAATCTCCTCCTGATTTTTGCTTGCAGTGTCCTGTAATTCTTCATGTTTGTCTTTCACACATTTAAAATATTCAATCATTGTTGTTTTCAATTCTGTGTCAGAACATTTCATCAGCCTGTCTGGCTTCAGGAAATCCCTTGATACTGTGTTACTTGGGGGGGGGGGGCATGGCATCTTGCTTTGGGCTTGTGTAGGGGGTTGGGTAGCCTGCTTCATATTGACATTTCTGTGGTAGAATTTTTCATGCCTGAAGTGATAGCAGATTTTTTTATCTGAAGTCATTGCTCCAGAAGAGGGTGGCAAAGCCGCCCTACCTGAATTTCTCTCTGTCTTCTGACCCAAGGGAAGATCTGCTTCAGTTCAATAGAGAAAAGGCCTGTGAAAGCAGCATCCTCTGGCAGACAACTGCCACAGCTTGGCTAGCCCAAGATGCTCTGGGCTAAAGGCAGTTGATGGAATGGACTGGACATGTGGAGACACAATGCAGAACACGGAGAACTGATTGGAAAACCATTAAGCCTTTGTTTTGCCTTTAAGAATGGGCTCCAGCTGTCTCACTCACAGATTGAGCTTAAGGGGGTCCCCTGAAATCCAGCCAAACAGCAGAAATCCCCCACAAAGTACCTCACTCATATTCCACCGTCACTCCTGTCACGTGTTGCTCCCTCTCCTGAACACATGTAGCTCCCTGCATATTTGTTCCCAGTCCCGGGAATATTATGTCACATCCTGGGAACATCATGTCATGTCCTGGACATGGGTGTTTCTATCAGCAGTACTGGGCATGAGCAGGCAGCATCAGGAATTCTACAGCGTGCAGGCTGGTGGTGTCAGGAGTTCTACAGGGTGTCGATGCCAAAGTTTTGAAAGTGATTTTTTTTCAAGAGATCAAACATTTTTCCTCATTATTTTTGTAGTGTTTATTCAGGACTTTAAAAACATTTTAAAAATTTTAAGAAATATTTAAGTCTAAGAATAGGCAGTCAAAATATACAGATATTCCAAGTAAACTTATTTTATTTAATGAAGCTCCAATTTTTTATACTTTTAGTGTGCATGAAGCCAGTAATCAACTTTCTCAACTAGAAAAGACATTTCTTCCAGTACACAAATAATATATGTAATGAATGCCTTGTAGTAACTGGTTTATTTTTTTAAAGCCAGAAAGGGATTTTCCTATCATCTTTTAATATTTTTCTCTTTTTTTTGGTCAGATAAAATACAGCTATTATGCGTGTTCTAATCTTTAATTATTTTATTTGGTAAGAATGACTACAATTATATTAAATAATTTTGCCACAGATAAATTCACTGTGTCTTTTTATTGCCATTCAGGTTTGTTTAATTAGTAGGGATTTTTTTTTTCTTCTTGTATATTTAAATATTTAAATTGTTTCCATCTTACATTTATAGTTTAATTGCTTTTTCTTACAGTTAATATCTCAATATCTAATGATTCCATGCTGGCTCTAGAAGATTTACCAACTGTTTCTTCTACTGATATGGTAAGTGATTTAATATTTCCTACTAGTTAAATGTTGTCTACTATTCTTAATTTGATGCATTCTATCATCTCTCAGTCCTGACATGAACATATATAAAAATTAATGATAAAGGAAGAATGACAGGAAATTACAATTTTGTTCTAGTTAAATACTGCCGTGTTTTTAAAACCTTTTTAGCAATGTATCTACTGTATCTTGTTAATTATGATCTTGAAATACTTTCAAAGTGGGAAGTGGAAGATGGTGGAAATGAGAACATGCCGTCTAATACTTAATATGGTTAAAAATTATTCTTGTTAAAAAAGGGTCACCCTTACTAAGAGTGACTGTAGAATGACTCTTCCCCAGTCACCAAGAGAGGCCTGTGACTCTGTCACATGATATTCTTTGTAACCAACGATCTTCAGGACACTGAAACCAAACTTTTAAAATGAGCTATTTTGGATGGAAGGTCTTATAGTGGAAGAAGACTTTCGTGTTGTAGTAAAAGAGAAAAGTACTATCTTAGGCTTCCAATTGTGTCCTTTCTTCACTAATATAGGACTTCACCAAAGAATGTCAATATCTCAATTATAAAGACAGGAACCATAATACCTAGTATTGATAGAGTGCCCATCTCTCAGGAAACCAGGATGCTTTTACAGATATTATGTAATGAGTGCCCACAGTGTTCTATTTTTTTAAAGGTCATGTTTTGTGTCTTTACTGGGCAACACTAACTTGACCTTATTTCTCTCTTGTTTTTGTATTTGAGCCTACCTTATAGTTTCTGATTTTCCTCAGACTTTCCTATCTCTTTCTTGTGTGATTGATTATATGTGCCTTTGTAAGAGAATAAAAATATTTTCAAATCATACACTTTGTAAAAGAGTTCCATTTTTAATGTTTTAGTCAGCATGCCTATTGCCTACTAGAATTTACATGGAGTGAGTGCAGCAGAGAAATTATTGCTTTTAAACATTTTACTTATATTCTTATCACAGTAATTAAAAATAAAACCAAAACCCGTTGTTTTTATGTGCCATCAAGTCACTTGTAACTTTCTCTTCCCTATGTATAACAGCTCTGAACCCTGCTCTATCTTTAGTCAATTTAATTGACTCTAACACACCTACCCCCATTACCCCAGTCACTGAGTCAATCCATCTAATCCAGGGTCTTCCTCTCTTATGCTATCCCTCCTTTTAAACATGATGTCCTTCTCCAAAGACTGGTCCCTCCTGTATATATGCCCAAAGTATGTGAGACAGAGCCTCAGAATCCTTGCCTCCAAGGAGCATTCTGGTTTCATCCTCTCCAGGACAAACCTATTTGTTCTCTTACTCTTCTCCAGCACCACAATTCTAATACATCAATTCATCTGTCATCCTTAGTCATTGTCCAGCTCTCTGAGAATAACAAGGAATTGAGAAGACCATGTACACATCTTAGTTTCTAGACTGACATCATTGCTCTTCAGTACTCTGGAAAGGTCCCTGACAGCAGATTTTCCCAATGGAATTTGTCTTTTGAGCTCCTGGCTAGTAGCAAGTGTTGATTGTGGAGCTAAACAAGCTGAAGATGTTAACAATATCAATTTCTTCTCTATCATGATGCTGCCAATTTGCTCTGTGATTAGAATCTTTGTTTTCTTCATAGTAAGCTTCAATCCATGTATAAGACTGTAGTCCTTGAACTTCTGCAGCAAATGCCTCAGTTCCTTCTCAGTTTTAACAAGCAGGGTTGTGTCATCTGCATAACGCAGGTTGTTGATGAGTTTTTCTCCAATCCTGATGCCATATTCCTCTTCATAAAGTCCAGCCTTCCAATAATCTGTTCTGCATCTAGATTATGAAGGTATGGAGATAAAACCCTAACCCTTAGAATAATTTAATTTGCAATATAAAAGAATATCCAATTTTATTTATGTTAAAAATTGTTTGTTTTCTAACTTAATTCTTGTTACATATTTGAAGTTCTAATGTCCCATCCATCCACTGGGTTTCCAAAGTGATGAATTTTTGAGAGAGATAGATTGCCCATATTTCTCCCACATCTTTCTCCAAATTACTAAGGAGCCATCAGGTTGAAGGAGGTCAGTTTAAAGACTAACGTGCATCTAATTCAGGCCATGGTCTTTTCAGTCACTTGCTATGCATCTGAGAACGTGACCATAAATAGAGATTACAGAAGAAGAATCAATGCTTTTGAGTTGTGTTTTGGGCAAGAGTATGAAACATTCCCTAAACTGCCAAAAAAACAGCTGTGTCTTTGAAAAAGTGCAGTCAGAGTGCTCCTTGGAGTCAAGGATGGCAAAGCTTCATTTCTCTCATACTTTGGGCATGTTTCTAGGAGAGGGTATTCCTTGGAAAATGACATGCTTATAAAGATGGAATGTCAGTGAAAGAGAAGAAGACTGTCAGCAAGATGGAATGATATACATTAATGACAGCGGTGGGCTCAGTGTGTCAGAGTCATGAGAATGGCACAAGTTAGGACAGGTTTCTAGTCTCTTGTTCATAGAGTCACTGTGTGCCATACATAATTTAAGGACACCTAACAGTAACAAATCATGTGGAAGGACACTGCCATCTGTATCCCTCAAACAACTGGTGGATTTGTACCACTAGAGAAACACAGCAACACAGCTCACTATGGTTTATACTATACCAGAGCTCCATTTAGAAGTTGTAGCAGATAATAAAGCTGAGAACGTTTAATCAGTTTGCAAAATTCTTTAGACATTCTTCTGTGACTTTGTAGCCAGCCATTGCTTATTTATGCTGTGTCTGAACAATGAGCATTAAATTGTTTTAACTTCCATTTACTAGCTCTTGAAGGGCAAGACCATGCTTCACAATCTAATCTCTCCTCAGAAGACATGATTGAATGGATCAGTTGGTGCTTACTAATAATAGTTCATCTTCTAATTAAGTTCTTAAATTTTTTAATGGAAACTTGGACTTTGTAAGTGCTTGTTACAATGAGTTTGCCCTCTTGCATACTCTTATGTAATCACCACCCAAAACCAAAACAGACCATTTCTGTATTCCAAGAAGTCCTACGAAATGTTTTATGTCTTACTTTCTCCTCTGGTTTCTGACCATTGGAAGTCAGACTAACCCTTTCTTTGCCTTGCTTCCCTTCTTCAGGCTTCAAAGTTACAGACAGCTGTGCTTAAATGATCTCGCATATTTCATTTCTAATGTTAAGCGCCACAGTATATCGTATTTAAAATTTTCATTTTCTTGAAGATTATACATAATATGGTATGTAATTGGTTTTAATACTAGTTTAGGTCTTTCTCGTCTTCATATTGTAAAAGATGGCAAGTTTGTTGATCCACAGAAAGAAATTATATTTAATTTGGCACTGGGAATAAAAACATTTCATTCTCTCCCTCCCTCTTAAAAACAAACCAAAATATAAACTATGGATTCGCCACCTGCTCAGAAATTGCTTAATGCTTGTTGCTGCATCTCCATTCTCATGTTCGGCTCCCCATCTCAGGAATGTGGCTTGCTTGTGTCTCAAAGAGCTGCCTGTGTCTAAGGTTATTTAAGGAGTGCTGGTAGTGTAGTAAAGTGCTTGTCTGTTAACCAAGGGCCCCTTTAGAGAAAGATGTGACAGTCTACTTCCACAAAGATTATAGCTTTGGAAACCATGCATCAGTTCTATTCTTTCCTGTAGGATCACTGTAAGTTGAAATCAACTCAGTGGCAGTGGTTAAGTCTTGGTTTTAGTTATTTGCTTGTGAATTTGTACAATGTCTTAGTGAACTATTATTTGAATAATTTATACATGAAGAATAATGTAAGACTACTATGTGTTTAGAGAATACATGGTATTTGCAGAGTCATGACCTCATTGATCTTGATGTCATTCCTTTATAGCTACTCAAATGAGAATTTCTACTTACAGTTACACAGAAATGTAAAATTACTTTTTCTGTTTTCCACTTAAGTAATAGTAGAACTGATTACTGAAGGCTTTGGGGGTATATTCTAATGTTCTTTCATATATGTTCATTGTTTTCTCATAATCAATTCATCAGGAGATACATAATTTTAGAAAAATAATCACTTTGCTCTTTGTATAATTTGCATATATTAGTTTGCTTGTTCTATGGCTTGTCACAGTATGAAAATTATGAATGATCAAGCCATTACTTAAAATGAGTCAACCACTTTTAAAAATGATAGCCATAAAATAACAAAGCTTGCTAAATAAATATGTGTCATGTATTTATCTGGTAAAGTTGTAAGAATTTTAATAAGAAAACCAAATATAAAATAATTAAGGCACTACAGACTAGAGATTAAACCAGGGATAGGCATAGTTCTTTTTAAGGAGGCATATAGCAAATATTTCAGGATTTGTGAGTTTAATCTCCTCTCATATGATTTACTACCTCTGAAAATCTGCTAAAGGCTCAGGGTTGATTCTGACTCAACAACAACAGCCTCTGTCACAGCTTCTCAATTCTACAGTTGTATCATAATAGCCCTAGTCAGAATGTAAACAAATGAGCATGGTTGTATTTCAGTAAAACGTCAGTTCCCAAAAAAACATGTTGAAAATCATTTAGACCATGGGATGTTGTTTGCTAACTGCAGGATTAAATTTTAACTGACACCTTGCCATTGATTTGATTCTGACAGCACATGAGTTACAGAGTAGAACTGTTCTCCACTGGGTTTTCATAGCTGTGACCTTTTGGAAGCAAAATATTAGGCTTTTCTTCTCAGGTACCTTTGGATGGGTAATCTTTTGGTTAGAAGTCAAGCCTTTGCCTCACCTGGAGACTAGAATTTAACTCCTTCGCTCATTGCAGTTGGGTCTGAACCAGCTCGGTAGCTGACCCTCTGTTGAGTTCTTAAAGCTGTAAATCACACAGAAGATGGTCTTTCTCATGACGAGCTGTTGATGGATTCAAATCACCAGAGAGGTTCAGCCTTTGAGTTAACAGTACAGCTGCCTACAGACTGGGCCACTAGAGCTCCCTTGAATGAAACTAGTTACAATAATTTTAGGGAGTTTTTCAGTAAGTTATGCTAGCAGTGATGGCTTTAAGATTCAAGACGCTTAGTGGATATGAGAGGGGTGAGTTATGTGCTTCGAAACCACATAGGGTCCAGAGTGTTCCATTTTGAAGATTGAGGTTCTGCATAATTTAGATGTTGAAGGAGTTTTACTGATAATTAAAATCTGAAAACCATTGTTTTACAACAAGTGGTAATTTGTATATTTCAAACCACATCAATCCAAGTACCCATTGCCGTCAAGTGGATCTGATTTGTAGCTACCTCCCTTCATGTTCTGGAGGGGATATATTTTTGTGGGAGGAGACAGCTTATCTTTCTCTTGTGGCATACCAATGGGTTCTAACCTCCCTGATAGCAGCCCAGCACAGCATGCACTGCACTAATCGGGCTTCATATGGTAAGTCTAGTCTCTATTCTTTTTAAGTCTCTCTGTAGGGCCTTCAATTCTGATGTTACACTCCAGAGAGAATTGTGCTGCTAGCCCAAAGGCTGCTCCTCTCTGGGGTTCAAATCTAGGAGAGGTGCCAAGGAATAAAGATGGACAGTCTCTGCCTGTGCCATTTGCAATCTCAGAAATCCAGTGGAGTCACTGTGAGTCGCTGTGTCAGTTGCAGGGGATGAATGAGTTCCTACAGACAAAGCAAAATGGACCTCAGAAGGGGAAAAATGCCATTTAAACACAAAAGTAGCTATTTCATAGATTATAAAATCATGTATGTTTGAATAAAATCTATATAAATTGGTTATGAGGATGCATGCCAGCTCATTTTCCTATTACTGATGTAGATGATTGATAAGCCTTAGGCTTTGAGTTTGTTTGAGGTTTGGAACTTGATGAAGTTTTACAGTGTTAACTTTTATTCATGTCAACTTATATAAAATAGCACAAATGATACAGATATATTTTCAGTGATTTTTGCACTGGAATTATTTGCCAGCTAGTGTTTAAGTTTTATGAGAGTGGGAAACTATTTAATATATAGACAGATTTCCAGGCTACCTGAAGTTTCTTTAACCTCTAGTGAATGTAGATATTTGGAGGATAAAATTTTTGTGCAATGTTACAGATAATAATATGAAGCTGAAAAATACTAAATAGTGATGATTTAAAGTTGAATAAGTTGAGAGAGCATAGCATAGTTCTTGTCCCAAGTACGTCTACATACTTTATACCGCAACTGTAATATCTACAGGACAGTCAATAAAATTCCCATTGGAATTGGTGTATCTTTCCTCTTTGGGAAATTCCAGTTATAAAGATTCTGCTGATATTAATGTGTTGAAGTAAAATTATGGCACATTTTTGCTGATTATTAAGTAGAAAAATCTGTTACCTATTATGACCTCTAAACTTTAAAAATATTCTGCCAAAAAATCTATGTGCAGAAATGTGAAAAATAAAAGACATTAGTAATCACCTTTCAGAAGCAGAGTTTAATAAAGGAGTGATTATGCAATTCAGCTACTTATTATGCTAATACATAAGGAAGTTTTCAGGAAAGATCTCGGTTTTTTTTAAATTGACTTATATAAGAACTTTACTTTGAGCTCTATGAAAAAATGTACTCTATTTGCTCAAATGCTGGTAACATGGATTGACACAGTGACTACCATAGTGGGCTTGACCATGACTGGGCTCATGCAGGTTAGGGTATTGTTCAAGTATATTGTTCATAGAGTTGCTGTGAGTCATAGCACCTAACAATAATAACAAAATCTGAGTTATACTGACTATATTATGCATATCGTGTAAATAGATAGTAAAAGTTAATGATATATGTGGCATGAAGCAGAATTCTTGCTGCTGAAGGAAAAAGTAAGTTCTTTCTAACAGTTGTTTCAGAATTATTCTCAAATGCCTCTTCTGTTAACACATGACATAATCATTAGAGCTCAACCGTAGACGAATAAAGTTATGGGTAATGAAAACATTGCTTTATGCCATCAGCAGTCAAGAAATCAAAGGATTTATTGATTTGGGAAAGTGCTATCAGGGACTTCCCCAGTATGCTAAGGAGCAACAGTGTCTTTCTGGAGACTAAGGTGCACCTGAACAAGACCCTGGTCATCTCAGTTGCTTGCTATGTAGCTGAGAGCTATACAATGAATAAGGATAACAGAAGAATTGACACCTTTGAGCTGTGGTATGGAGCCATGGTATTGAACATACCATAGGCTGCCAAGGAAACAAAAAGGTCTCTCCTGGAGAGGATGAAACCAGATTTCTTCTTGGAGGCATGAATTTGAAACTCTGTCTTACATACTTTGGACATGTTGCTAGGAGGGACCAGTTCTTGGAGAAGGACATCACCTTTGGAAGGGTAGAGAGTTAGCTCAGGAGAGTAAGACCCTGGATGAGATGGATTGATATCTTTAACTGTCACAATAGGGTCAGGCATATGAGAGACAGTGAAGTTGGCTCAGGATGGGACAGGGTTAGGAGCTGTTGTGCATAGGGTCACTATTAGTGGCAGATGATTTGGTGGCACATAAAAAAACAAGTGTTGTCAGGGAACTCTGGTGGCATAGCGACTATATATTTTGCTGTTAACCAGTAGGTCAGTTGTTCAAACCTTTTAGCTATTCTGAGGGAGAAATATGTAATCGTCTGATCTATAAAGATTTATATTATTTATTTTGGAAGCAGGAGTGGCATCACTTCCTAAATAACATGCCTCCAGAAACCCTATGAACTCTGAAAAGTATCCATAGTTGTAGAGGGACTTCAAGCCGTTTGTTCATAGGATCACTATGAGTCATACTTGACTCAAAAGCAATCAATAGTAACAACAACAACATAAAGATTTCTAGCATTAGAAACTCTATGGTACAGTTCTACTCTGTCCTACAAGGTCACTATAAGTTGAAATCAACTTGAAGGCAATAGGTGGTTCATGTTGGTCAGTAATTTGCTGCAGAAGTCGTAGCACTCATGTGAGGTAGTTTTTGCATGGTGGGAGGCTATTCCTCAGAGAAAGAGACAACTGTGAACTGATAGGTAGCTCATCCTCAGAGCAGCTCTGAACTTTAGAGTCATAGAGAGGAACAGTTAATTGGCAGTATAGCAACATAGAAGGAAATATGAGAATTGATAAATAACAATTTTTTTTATCAAAGAAAGCAGCTTTTATTATAGATTTATTATACAACCCTTCTGTAACCTAAAAAATACTACTGTACATCCTACTAAAGGTGCTTTGGTTATTTGGAATCAACAAGAAAAATTTTATTTAGACTCTGCAATGGAAAAAGTAGGGATCGTGAACATATTTGCAGAATTTAATAGCTTAAATCATCTACCTCTAGTTATTTAGAAAAAAAAAATAGCTCATTTGAGAAAGTAATGAGTAAATGAGAAATGAACCTACTATAGCTTTTATACTTTTATATTAACCAGTAATATCATGAGCTCCAAGTAGAAGCAACTGTTTACTGCAGAATTAAGGTTTATTTTGAACAAGGGTGCTTCAGAGAGTGAAGCCTTTTGAGACCTAAGATATTTTTGTGTCTCAGTTTACCCGCAGGAAATTTGGCAGGGAAGAAAGACTTTGTTTTTTGTTTCTATTGAACAAATGGATGATTGTAAGGCTGTAGCTCAAACTAAGTACCAAATTGTATGATTCTTAGTGTATTTTCAATAATTGCCAACCTTGCGGTTCCCTTACCTGTAATTCTATTAACGCCTCCTCAGATTTCATCCTTTAATGGTTTCTCCCAGACAGGTTCACAGAAACTTTTTTATTATAATACCTATAGAGCTCATCAAATGTCAAAACTACTTAAGATGGGTCAGTGTTCTATTAAAAAATGCTAATGTTTTACTGTGGTTTGTGTTTTTCTTCTGCAGTACCATAATGGCACCATTGACTGGGCAGTTTTGTCAACGAAAGAGTGTTTAAAATATAAAGGGAAACTCGTGGGGAACAACTGTAACTTTGTTCCTGATATCTCTCTCATGTCTTTCATCCTTTTTTTCGGCACTTACACATCTTCTATGGCTCTCAAGAAATTCAAAACTAGTCGTTATTTTCCAACCACAGTAAGTACCGGAGTTTTACTTAATTTTCATTGAACTCACACTCCTTTGGACAGTGACAATATTTTAGAAAATGAAGCAGACATTTATAATTTAACCTTTCCAATATAATTTTATGCACTTTTATATAACTTCTATTTTTTTAAAATATAACTTCGTTTTAAGATAACTATGGTCCAGCTTTGGGAAATATCTCCAAGCATCTTACTCATTTAATATGGTTATAATTTCTGTCATAATTCAGTTCTGACAAAACTGAAAGGAAATAGTGGAATTTTTTTGCTATCTAGTAATATTTATGCCTCCAGAAACCCTATGAACTTTGATAAGTGTTGATAGTTGTCGAGGGGCTTCAAGCCTTTTGTTCATGGGGTCACTATGAGTCATGCTTGGCTCAAAGTCTCAACAACAACAATAATGCATGAGTAAACAAAAACACCTTTTAAATTCATAGTGCTTGAATATGTAGCTAAAACTCATGCCATACCTTCCTAGGTAGAATTTATTATTCACCAACTTTAAATATAGGAAATTTAGTGGTTTAATTCTTACCTCTAGAAGCATATTTAAGTGGTACTGTTTGAAAAATAAAGAGCTAAATATACACATCATCTATGCTAACCTTTCCATCCCATAATAATGAATGCAGGAGTACGAAGTAACAGATAATCAGGACAGGTTGTGCAGACATCCTGTCTCCCATTAATATGCTTGGGTGAAATTGAAGTCTAAACCTTGGTTCTTTGAGAACCAAGATAAGATTAACTTTTAGTTAGTGGCATTTGTTTTTTCAGTCTGCACAGTGAAACTGAGATAATTCTTTGCATTACAATTTAAAAATTCTTATAATTCAGAATGTCAACATTTCTTAGGTAATCTTGATTCTATCTCATTTATCTCAGTGACTAACTCCATACAGCTGACATCTCATGAAATCTCTCCTCAAATAATTTGTGTAGAATAGGGAGTTGTATAACTTTAGAAAACATGAGATGCACTTGATGAAATTCCTTTTTCTAAGAAGAAAATGAAACTGACCATATATTTACTTTACATAGGATTTAAAAAACAAACCCAACAACCATTCAGATTCTTTTTACAAAATTGAAAAAATGGGAGAAGAGGGAAGGTTGCTAATGAACTCCTCCAAACTATCCCATAATGTGAAACATCGAAAGACTTCATTTTCAGCTCCTTTAAAATGGCTATCACAAACTAGTGCCCTAGGCTGAATTCAGCCTAGATCTCTCCTTTATGTAGCTTATATTTCACCATCACATATCTACACAGGAAATTGAGGTCTTAGGTGCACCCTGTGTATTCCTGGTAGTCCTTGTCTTCACAACTCTTTTTTGCCCAAGAGTTGGCTGCAGCATTTATTCAATTCGCCTCCCTGTTTCTTAAGACATTTGAGCTTGTGTGTTGCGTTCACACACACAAAGAGGTGCAGACTTGTGCCACCCCTTCCATGATGTGAGTTGTATGTAGAACAGATTGCTGAGTAAGGGTCATTGAGGAGGATTTTCAAGCTTATTTTGTCAACTAAAGACCTGTTCTTAGTGTTTCTTCTGTATTTGATTCTTTCATGATGTTGTGGGGCTTTGTTTTGTTGTTTACATTTTGGGAGCCATCTCCACCTGCCAAAGTCTGGTACTGGTTAATTATCATCAACAGCTAAACTCAGTGCCATCAAGTTGAAGCCAATTCTTAACCCCCCTTCCAGTGGGTTTTCACAGGTTGTCAATGGCACAGAAGGAAGTTGTCCATTTTCCTTTCTTTTTTTTTTTCCATTTTCCTTTCTTGGAACAGCTGGTGAATTCGAACTTTCTGCCTCTGAGTAGGCAGTGCAACTCTCTACCCATTAGACAACCAGCACTCTTCTTGTAGCTACGGTCGTGGTTGTTATTGTAGTGTGTATTCAGCTTGGACCCAAAGCTGAACTTCCAGGAGGTTTTCAAGAGGCAGTAAATCATGCAGGATGAGATTGCTTACCCTTCTGCCATGGAACAATTGATGGATTTGAACCACAAGACTTTGGGATTGCAGCACACCTTTTTAGATGGAGAATTTATGGAGTACTTCTCAGTCTTAATTTGAGATTAGGTTAATGGTCTCAATTTTCAAGTTAATAGAGAGAAATTTAACTCTGTTTGTGGATAGAACATTTTTCCCTTTAATCTTAACTCCCAACTGATAATTACTCTTCAAATGTAAAGACATTCTTCCCCTTATGGAAACCCAACAAAATAACATGTTGTTGTTGTTGTTGTTGTTGTTATGTGCCGTCGAGTCTCCTGCGACTCATAGCGACCCTATGTATAACAGCCCTAAACCCTGCTCTGTCCTGTGCCAATCGCACTGTCTCTGACACTCCCATCCCAATTATCCCAGTCACTGAATCAATCCACCTCAAAGAGGGCCTTCCTCTTCTGCGCCGTCCCTCCACCCTCCCAAGCATGATGTCCCTCTCTAAGGACCGGTCTCTCCTCACAACATGTCCAAAGTAAGTTAGACGGAGCCTCAAAATCCTTGCCTCCAAGGAGCCACCCGGTTTAACCCTCTCCAGCACAAATCTGTTTCTTTTCCTAGCAGTCCATGGTATTCTCAATACTCTTCTCCAGCACCACAGCTCAAAGGCATCAATTCTCCTTCTATCCTCCTTGGTCATTGTCCAACTCTCTGATGCATAACAGGTGATTGCGAAGACCATGGCCTGTATCAGACGCACCTTAGTCTCCAAAGAGACACCACTGCTCTTCAGCACTTTGGAGAGGTCCCTAACAGCAGACTTTCCCATGGCAATGCACCTTTTAACTTCCTGGCTGCTGGTGCCAAGACTGTTGACTAAGGAGCCAAGCAAACTAAAGCTGTGTACAATCTCAATCTCTTCACCATCCATCCTGATGCTGCCAACTGGTCCAGTGGTGAGAATCTTTGTCTTCTTGACATTGAGCCTCAATCCATATTGTAGGCTGCAGTCCTTGACACTCTGCAGCAGGCGCTTCAGGTCCTCCTCAGTTTCAGCAAGCAGGGTTGTGTCATCCGCATAACACAGATTGTTGATAAATCGTCCACCTATCTTGACCCCACATTTCTCCTCATAGAGCCCAGCCTCACGGATAATCTGTTCTGCATATAAGTTGAAAAGGTATGGAAATATGTTGCATCCCTGGCGTATGCCCTTCCCAATTTTGAACCATGCAGTGTTCCCTTGCTCTGTTCTGACGACTGCCTCCTGGTCCAAGTATAAGTTTCACATTAGAATGATCAAGTTTTCTGGGATTCCCATTCTTCTCAGAGTCAGCCACAGTTTGTTATGATCTGGTAAATTCTTTCAAGAATGGAGTGAGCATGTGAAAGCAGATTTTGTTATGGCACCGTAGAGTGAGAACTGACTCAGCTGACCTCCCAGTGGATTTTCAGAGGAAATAAATTGCACAGGAAGGGATTGCTTATCCTTCTCTGAAGAGCAGCTGGTACATTTGAACCACTTGCCTCTGGGCTGGCAGCACAAATCTTACAGCTAAGACCAGATAGCTCTGCAAAAGTAGAATAATAACATTTTAGGAAACTTCTCATAGGAAGGTTTTCAGGAAAATATGGAATTATATATATCAAATTTGTAAGTATTTGTATGAATTGTTAGTTTATGTTGTAAGCTGCTTAAAAATGGCTAGATTCTCTTTTATTCTTCACCTTGACTAAAACAAGGGTGTATGCAGACTAGCTATTCAATACCTATTGACTAATGGAAAACTTGTCAAATAGAGACAAATGCTGTATTTTTTCAAAGAGTACAACTCTAGGATTGTAGGAGCCATCACATCCTAGTTCCCACACCACTGTTAACCGTGCAGTCTTTGATAGCTGACCCTGTCGTCAGCTCTAATATTACACAATTTTAGAGATAATTTTCCTGACTTTATTGCCCAAATGAAATAAATTCTCTATCTTAAACTATTGCTTGTAGTAATAATGAGTTCTTAAATTTCAAGAAATTACTTATCTTTATCCCAGACTTGCTTTTCCATCTGATGTTAGTGTCTGCTTATGCTTATGTATAGTATAACTGATCATAGGGCCTTCAGAATTGTCACCTTTCTGAAGCAGATCACCAGGCTCATATTTTTAGGTGCTTCTGAGTATGCACAAAATGTTGACTTTTGGCTAGTGGTCTAGTGCTTAACCTTGCATGGCACTCAGGGACTTCTCCGTAAATTCAGGGGTTACGATTCCAGTACACACATTGGTGGACACAATTCAGTCATAATGGAGTAGTCATTGGTTGAGAGACTAAGCCACTTAGAGATGGCCTTATACAGAGAAAGCTGGGGAATCTTTTTTCCCCTCTGACAACCTTCCCTGGTGACCTGTTGGTTAAACACAGTTAGAAATCCAACTTCTCAAGGCCTACCATTGTTTTTATGCAATGTGTTTATGAACACCTGGACCTTTGTTTATTCTTTTTCTGATTCAACTTTAAATGTACAATTTCAATTTAACGTATACTGACTGTTGCTGTTGTGTGCTGTTAAGTTGGAACTGACTCATAGCTGATCCTCCAGCAAGTTTTCAGAGGTAGTAAATTGCATGGGAAGATTGTTCATCTTTTTCCTGTGGAAATGCTGGTAGATTCAAATCACATGCCTTTGTCTTGGCAGTCTAATTCTTTACCTCTAAGCCACCATAGCTCCTAGAGAAATAATGTACTTCTTATGTATTTTGTCCATTTTACGTCTTATGTATACACACATGTACAGATACACACCCTTAGTTTGTTTGCATATAGCCTTCAGTATGTATTACATCTCAACATCAAGAAAACAAAGGTTCTTGCCACTGGGCCAATAGACAACATCATGATAGATGGACAAAGGATTAAAGTTGTCAGTGATTTAGTCTATCTTAGATCAACAATCAGTATCATTGATACTAGCAGTCAGGAGATATTGCTTTGGGTAAGTCCATTGTCGGGGACCTCTTTGAGAAATGATGTCAGTTTG